CATCGCGATCGCCGCCGCGTGGGTTTTGCAAGCCAAGTCGCGGGTGTGTGGGTTGGGTGCTTGCAAGAGTATGGAATGTGTAAATTCCTTTGCGAAGAGTTTTTCTAATTAAGAAAAACACAGAAATCGAATGCATCGGTTCCTTCCCCCCGGGATTATCCTTTTCTTTTTTCGTATTGCATTTTACATGTGATTCTGCCCCACCGCCCATCCGAAATGTGAGCTCGTACCAGCCCAGCCAAGCCGATATCGACGCCCCCCGCCATCCCTGCAACAAATACGATGCGCGCGCACTCGTTTATCAGAAATCATAAGTTTTCAAGAGTTCCTTGTAAAACAATGAAACGAAGTGCACGCGCGCGCGTCGAGGCGCGCGCATGCCGAACTCAGCCAACAAGCATGGGTTTCGTGAGGCTTTCAAATCGAATGTCAAACACATTTGAAACACATAGTTTCGCAACCTGGGTTTCAAGAAGCGCTTGCGGTCGAGCTCTTACGACTTCTTCAGACAACCGTAGGCTTTTCGACAGTTTCATAAAATGCGACCAAAAGGGCTTCGCGCGCGCATGTCGAGATCGTTCGAACGCCTTTGCGGATTTGCTGTCGCAAGACTCTTTGCAACAAGTTGGACGAAGTGGACGCGCCCGCGTCGTCGCGCGCGCGTGCCCAAATCAACTAAAAACCATGTTGTCGCAAGGATGTCAAAGCCGAACGTCGCGAAACCATGCAAACACATATGGTTTCGCGACATCAGTTTCCAGAAAACGTTAGCGCGCGCTCTTGCGCATTCTTAAGAACAGGTTTTTCTTTAACGTTGTCATTGCGTTCTGCCAAGCGGGCTTTTCGCGCCGCGTGCTGAAATCAGTCGGAAATCCTTGCGCACGTGCTGGGAGGGCACGACCCGTGTCACATAAAATCGTGTGGCGACTCTCGCGCGTCGGCCGCGCGCGCATGTCGAACTCGTTCCAAAACCTTCACCACCGACGCGAGGACGCCTTCCGCGTCGTCGGCGTGATCAACATCCGCGCCGTCACTGGTCGTGCCGTCGTCGGTATCAGCATCGTCACCAGCATCGCTACTGTTATCTTCGTGTCTACCGTTTTCGACGTTGCTATGATGACGCGCCCGCCCAAGTCGCCGACTTGCTGTGAAGTGCCCGCTGGGATGTGCCCAGCGGTCGGCGCCGCCGCGGCCGCGTCGGTCGCGCCAAACTACCTGGCCGCTGCGCGCGGGAGCTTGGGTTGGCTCGGCCGCGGATATGTACCAGCCAACACCAAACACATCGCAATCGGGCCCGCATGGGTTTCGCAAGCCACATTGCGGGTGGGTGGGGGGGATGATTGCGCGAGCAGTGGAGTTGACATCTTCAAGTTCGGCAGGGTGGACAACACAACGTAAAATGCACCACGTATGCTGCCCAGCAAAGTGTGCGCGACATACGTCGCACCGCGTATTTTGCACAGCGTATATGTTACACCATAAAACGGTGGACTTGCAACATATATTGCACAACGTGTATTGCACATCGTAGGTTGTCCAACATACATTGCACCACGTAAGTCGCACAACGTAGTTTGCTCTGCAAGACTTGCACACCATATATGGGTAAAAACAATTTTTCGGTGCTGAGCCACCAATGTGGGCCTGCACTCTGGATAGTTGCCACTCCCTGATTAATGATATTCCGTCTGGTCCACGGTGCACGAAGTGCGTGAGAAGAGGGCACCAAGTAGGGCCCCCCCAGGAGAGTCTGGATGCTTTGGAAACACATTCCAGTATTTGTTTACGCGTCCCAGGGGCCTTTCATCACGCGCATGCTGCGAAACGGGCTGGCCGAATGCGCGGATCTTCTCCAACCGTGCATGTCCATGTGATCTCCATCTTCTTCCCAAACCTCCGCAAGCGTGCAACGCTTATCGCTGCTGCCGAGCACGGCTGAGGCCCGCAGGGAGTTCGCCGCTGTTGGGGCCACCTTGGAGGCCGGTTGGCGAGGTTGAGCTCTTTTTGAGTTTGGCCCCTTCTTGGGCTTTCCTGGGGGCCATTCTGGGGTCACTTGGCAGCTCTTGGGTTCGTTTTGGAAGGCCGAAACCCCGTTTGCAGCTCTTATTTGGCCGTCTCGGGGTAGTTTTGGGCCCTGCAATCCATGCTACTAGTTTGTTAAAAGAGGGATCTTGGCTCTGGGAACGTGGATCCGTAGTTTTCTTCGATGGACCGTTGCCCCAGGAGCGCAGATAAATCGTGCCTTTGCGTGTCCCAGGAGAAGGTGCGCAAGAATTTCATGCGGACCCCCCTGTGGAATCCTTGTGGACTCCCTCCGTCAGCTGGCGGCGCCCGTGGAGGCCATCCCCTGCGAACAACTAGCCTTGAGTATCTAGCAGTTTCGCCCGCAATCTAGCAGTTGCTCAACACGGCAGGGGGGCCTCCGCATTGAGCCCGCAGAGCGGGAGTCACGGCGGGCCCCAGGGGAAACTCGCACGCAGATTTTGCAATCAGTGGGTGTTCGGGGTATGGCTTCGACGATGGTCGGTACCATTCGTTGCAGTTTTTCTCAGGATCATCTTGGCGTCCCTTGGGGGGGGCATGTGATCTTACGAGCCAACCATGGGGATTCTATGGGCCACGAGTTGCGTGAGGGATGTGCCGAATCGAAGTCCCCTTGAACCTTACGAGGGATCAGCTGAGGGCCCTTGGGAGTCTATGAGGCACGAAGTGCGTGAGGGGTGTGCCGAAACTCCGTCCCATCATCCTGATGGCCAGCTGATCGCCTCTGGGGCACGACATGCGTAAGGGGTGTGCCGAATTTAGGCTCCAAGGAGCCGTCTTCGATGCCAGCTGAGCACCCATGATGCACGAAGTGTGAGGGGTGTGCAGAATTGATGCTCCTATCAGAATTGGTATGAAGATCCCTCGTGGTTTACTTGTCTCAGAGGCCTTGAGGCGCAGGACATCTGCAAGGGACGTGCCGAATCGAGGCCTTCCTAGCCCTCGGAGAACATTTCAGTCGTGTTTCTCTGTGTCCCAGGCGGGCTTGTCGAAACAGCATCATCGAAGCAGCATCGAGACATTATCCGCGGTCGCAATGCGCGAGGCCGCTCCCAGCATGCCTTCATGCATGCATGCGAATCGCTCTCCTCCATCATCCTTCCATTCGTTATCTATCTTCGACGGGTAACACGGCCGGGGCCCGCAGGGATCCCGCCGAGCTCAGCTGCTTCGCGCATTCCCGCCGGCTGGTAGGTTTTTTGCATCATCTGTGCTATTTGCCTGCGTGCTTCTGGGCATTGAACACTTGTTGGGTGCTGGTGATGTCCCAAAGCTGTCGCGGGAAGCTCGCGCGGGTGAGAAGCAGTTGCTGGGGGTAGATGGAGTGCAGCACTCGACAGAACACGCTCCCAGCCAGGTTTTGGCAGCGCAGCCCGAGAACGCGAGCACACACTTCTGTTGCACTCCTTCGTGGGCTGCCAGAGATCCTTGGGGGACTCCTCGTGCCTCTGGGAGGCTTCGGGGCGCTTCCCCCCCCGGGCTGCGCCTGAGGCTCCTCTCGGGGCCTCGCCCTCGCCCGTCTTCGCTCCGCCCTCCTCCCTCCTCCCTGCACCCTCTGCGACCTCAACCTCGGCACCCCTTCTCGTCCTGCACGCGCTCCAGAACCCAACACCGCCCCCACGATGAGCGCGTCGAGCACGGCCTCGGGAGGCCCACGGTGCTCCGGCGCGGCCCCAGGACGGTCCCCGAGGGGCCACGAGAGGTCTGCCGAGGGGCGCTCCGCCTGCCGGACAGGAGCAAACAATGCGCTGAAAGTCGTGGGGCGATTGCATTCGTGCGAGTGCTCTGCTCTCCGCCACGAGCAGCAGGGTTTCCGGAGGGCCACGGATGCGCTCGAGTCCGCCAAAAAGAGTCACAACGAGCCTGCGGGACCCCTCAAACATAAACCCCAGACCACGCAAGAGGGCCCCAGCGCGAAGAGCTCCTCCAGAGAGGCCCAGACTGGGCCACGACGGCCCAACACGGCCTCGAGATGGTTCACAAGATCTGCGGGGTGCCCGAGGAGGTTTCCAAGATGGCCGCACGCGGGCCGAAGAGGGCACATCATGGCTCTCCAATGTGGCCTCGGCAGGCCGCAGAAGGACCCACAGGCGGCCAGCCTCCACTGAGGTTTCAAGCTAGTCTGAGTGCATGCTTGGGATTTTCCGCTCCTCGGCTCCGGATGGCTTCAGAACCGCCATGGAGACACCCTCTCTCCTTCAGCATTGCTATCACCATCATCCCAATCATTAGCATCATCATCATCATCACCATCATGAGCAACATCATCACAATCATTATCACCATCACCATCACCATCACCACCATCATCAACATCATCACCATCATCATCATCATCATCATAATCATCATCACCATCATCATCATCATCATCATCATCATCATCATCATTATCATCATCATCATCATCATCATCATCATCATCATCATCATCATCATCATTCGTATCATCATCATCGTCCTCATCGTCGTCGTCGTCATCATCATCATCATCATCATCATCATCATCATCATCATCATCATCATCATCCGTATCATCATCATCGTCCTTATCGTCGTCGTCGTCATTATCATCATCATCACCCTCATCATTATCGTCATCGCCATCGTCATCACCATCGTCATCGTCATCTTCATCGTCATCGCAATCGCCATGGTCATCGTCATCGTCATCGTCATCGTCATTATCGTCAGCATCAGCATCATTGTCATTTTGCCATCACCATCATCATCGTCATCATCATCACCATCATCGTCATCGTCCCCGTCCTCGTGCTCGTCCTCGTCATCGTCATCGTCATGGTCTTCGTCATCGTCATCGTCACCGTCGTCATCGTCACCACCACCATCGTCACCACCACCATCGTCACCACCACCATCATCACCACCATCATCATCATCGTCGTCGTCGTCGTTGTCGTCGGTGTCGTCGTCACCACAATCCTCTGGTGCGCGAGGCTGTCGCGAAGCCAGCCTTGAGGGGCCAGGCCCACAGCGGCTTCCGGGATATCCAGGTGACTCCGCTCTCCGCTCAGCTGCCAGGGTGAGGGAAGAACGAGCAGGAGGAGGAGGAGGAGGAGGAGGAGGAGAGCAATTAGTGCGGAGGGAGATGATGCTACTTTTGCTGATGCTGCTGCTGATGATGACGAGGAGGAGGAGGAGGAGGAGAAGAGGAAACGGGAGGAGGAGGATAATGATAATCATAATGCCAAGTGATGAAGACACGTACCTAAGCCCCCCCCCAGAGCTTCTCGAGCGACGCGGAGAAAATGAGGACGGTGATGATGAATTGAAGTCTTCACATGCTGTCTGTATTCTGAGTGCGCTGCGACAGCCAGCAGATGAAGATCGCGTCCGAGCAGAGGAAGTGACTACCATGTGCACTATGAACGAAGCCACCACAGTACTGTCCATGCCTGCACAACTGACTGAACAGCAAATTTGCTCATATTGTAATTTCAGCAGGATGGTGGAAGATGCAGAGTGGCATCATGCCGATCACCAGAGCTTTCACCAAGGCTGACAACTACTAAGCAACATGTGGAAACGCGCAGGTGGCCACGAATATGGAAGTTGCATATTGGTACACTGGCCGATCACCAAAGCTTTCACAAGACTGACCACTATCGCGTAACAACGTGTTCAGGTACCGCATTCCCATCCAGCCAGCAGTTTGAATGACGCCCAGGCAACATGAGCTCGCGGAAGCTCCTACGAATTGCAGCCTGGGACGAACCTTGACGAAGATGACCATGACGGGAATGACAACACACAATTCCCACGCTAGATCTACCATTTTGCGCTCGGCGAACAACAGCCCAACTCTGTGCCTTGCTTCGTCACAGCGAAAGGTCGTCCATGCAAGGCCGACCAGCTACGATGTCCCTCAAGCACCGCGTGGATGTGCAAGGCACGGCGCCAAGGACATGCCGGGCTAAGCTAAAATACGCTTGCTGAATGCCTCGGGTCGAATTTTGTTCGGGAGGATGATGCTAATGATGATGATGAGGGGGAGGAGGAGGAGGATGAGGAGGAGGAGGACGAGGAGGAGGAGGAGGCATGTGAGGGGAGAGGAGGAGGACGATAAGGATGATGATCATGAGAAGATATTCCCAAACCAGAGCTTGCCTCTGTAGGGGTCCTAGCGGATTCATATGGTTAGGTTAGCTGCGGCGCCGATTTCGGCGGCACGCCCGGTGCCCCGGTGCCCGGGTGCCCGGGTGCCCGGGTGCCCGGGTGCCTGAGTCCCCGGGTGCTCATGTGCCTGGGTCCTCGGGTGCCCGGTAGCCCTATAGCCCTATTTCCCTATAGTTTTATAGCCCTATAGCCCTATTTCCCTATAGTTTTATAGCCTTATAGCCCTATAGCCCTATAGACCTATAGCCCTATAGCCCTATAGCCCTATAGCCCTATAGCCCTAATAGCCCAACAGCCCAATAGCCCTATAGCTTTAAAGCCCTATAGCTCTATAGCTCTAAAGCCCCATAGCCCTGTAAACCTATAGCCCTATAGGCTATAACCCTATAACCGTATAAGCCTACAGCCCTGTAGCCCTGTAGCCCTAAAACCCAATTGCCCTAGGGCCCTATAGCCCTATAGCCCTTATAGCCCTATGGGCCTATGGCCTTACAGCCTTATAGCCCTATGGCCCTATAGCCCTACAAGGCGTTTCCATGGCCGCCGGCCTCGCGAAGAATCAGCAGGGCCAGCCACCATTCAAGCCGCCGCCCGTGGGAGACCCGCCCCGAAAGCCGCCGCCGAAGTCGGAGTGGTGCGAGCACTCGGCAAACTGGCAGCGGTACGAACACGAGTACGGCACCGGCATCAAGTGCAGCAGGTGCGATTCCAAACTGGAGTGGACTCCCCGTGGAGCGTCGAACGGCGACGACTGGCCAGAGTCAGCGGCAGCAGCAGCTCGCAGAGCAGCCGACTTAGCTCAGCGTACGGTCGAGATGATCCAGAGTCAAGATGGCTTCGTCGACGGAGGAGCGCAGCTCACAGCCATCAACACCCTGAACCAGATGATGACCTCACTGGCGTGGCATCTGCATTCCCTCCACCAGGCATGGCGGCCATCAGCAAGATCCAACCTATCATCCAGCAGAGGATGGACATAGTCACGCCATCACGGCTCGGCGGACATGGCGAGGTCACCGAGGGACTGCAGACCATTCACCAGGGAGTTGCTCACATCCGACGGATGCTGGGGTGCCTCGGACTTCGGCGAGATGATGGACAACATCTCGGAGCAGACGACGACGATGCGCCTCGAGGTCACATCGATCCAGCACACCGTGGTCAATCTCCATGGACCAGATCACGACGATGCTGGTGCAGATCGGGGCCGCAGTCACCGCGATGGCCAGCTACATGAACGCCCAGAGCTCCGGCAGCAGTGGGAGCGGGTGGCAGCCGGCCCCGGGAACCCAGGGCCAGTCGGGAGGTCAGCCCGACGGATCCGCCAGTGGTCCGACCACGCCTACCACAACTACGGCGGCGGAGCATCCTGCCACGACGGCAGAGCAGCAGTGGGACCTGGTGTGAGGCCGAACTCGAACCACGAGTCGAAGCGAGGAGATCACGGAACTCTGGGTGTCCAGGTCCATCTGAGCCTTGCGGCAACCTTCCAAGCCAGTTACTGTTGTCCTGCACCAGCAAAAACAAGTCAAGAAGAGGACTTCTGCTTCCCGGTCGGGTTTCCTCGTATCCTCCCTGGGTCTTCGAGCGTTGAGCTTGTCGCTACAGAAGGACGCAGCTCGGCATTCGAGGGTGCGGTCGCCACGACTGGAATCGAGTCGAAATCCAGGGGTCGGGCCGACATGGGGTCGTGGTTCGACGGAGACATATACAACGACGACCATGAGTCGGCTTGGACCCAGGCCGGCAGAAAGGCCGTCGAGCGTCAGGCTGGATTCGAGGGCCCCAGCAGCGCTCAAGAGGTCTCCATGAGGCCCAAGAAGAAGGCCAAGACGGCTTTCCTGGAGATCTTTCCTCCGCTTTGAATTGCTCCAGAGGTGCCTCGTAGAGGGGCCCCCGTTGGATCTCGGGCCAGCCTCGATCGCGCGATCGAGTGGCTTGCTAGGGATTCCGGTCAAGTCGCTCAGATGTGGGACCAGAATATCAGAGATCAACCCGAAACCATCTTTCTCTGATCTGAGTATTGAGTCTTTTCCGCGATCAGCCGGATCAACCAGGACCGCAGGGGCCTAGAGAAATGGGGGCGGGAAGATCTTGACGGGGCACAGATCTGACCATCTGCATGCAAGTTGCAGCGTTTCAGGTTTCTCAGGGTCGCTACTTCGTGTTTCAACACCCCCTTTACGCGAGATCCTGGGAATCGCAGGTGGTGAAGGCCATTTTGAATCTCCAGGGCGTCCGCAGACTAAGGGTGGACATGTGCGCCTTTGACATGCAAGTCGACAGCCGGGGTCTTAACAAGAAGCCCACGGGTCTACTCGCCAATTATCCTTGCATCTTTCCTCCCTAGATGGTGTCATCTACATGCCCTACTAGAGGTGAGCCCTCAAACCTCAAGGTCTGCTCGATGCCCGCCCAAGTTCGTTAGAGCCGCTGCGAGAGCTATCGCCGAGCAGTGGTCGGGGGCCTCAGAGAAGGTTGGGCCAACTTGGGCCCAGTTGGAGGAGGGCGACTTCCCGGCGGAACTGGCGGAAGAGCGCCTTCCGACCATCGAGGAGGAAGCAGAAGGATTAGGAAGTGAAGACAGCGGGGGCGAGCCAGAGACCATGCCTTCCGAGGAAAAGACGGCATCCGGGGCCGAAGACAGAGAACCGGATGAGGCCGAGAAGCGTCTCCCTCTAAAACTCCATGTCAACGTGGGACACCCGGAGATGCGCGAGTTCTGCCGGGTGCTCCGTGCCGGGGGGTGGAAGGATGCCGAATCAGGTGGCCCCGTACACGTTTCACGTGCTCCGAGTGCGAAGAGAAGAGGAGACGCGGCAGTCATCGCAGGGTCGCCATGCCTTGAGGATCGATCTTGCCCACCTGGACTTCCAGGGGTCCTCGGTTCCGTTTGTTCATGTTGTCGACCATGGGTCCAATTTCCAGATCTGCGCGAAAATGCCCGACGCCAGGGCGGCCTCGGTGTGTGCCGAGTTTCAGGTGCTGGATGAGGCTTTGGGGGGCTCCGCGCTTGATGATTTCGGACGGGGGTCCCGAATTTGCAGGACGTTTTGCCCGGGGTCTCGAACAGTGCGGAATCAAGCATCACGTGTGCGACGCAGATTCCCCTCGGCAAAACGGGAATGCGGGGCGCCATGGAGGCTGGGTTGAAGCGAGTCAACTTTGAGGTCGACAACGGACCAAGCCCCCGACAAGTCTGGATGAGCTGGACACTTTGGTCCACGAGCTCACGGCGCACAGAAGCGATGCTGGCGCAGAGGCGGGTTTTCCCTGATTCAGCTGGTGTTTGGCGAACCCCCCGGGATGCGACTCTCTGGGGCCCCTGGGTTGGCAGGGCCTCGTGAGAGGCCCAGCCGAGCAAGGCGACGCTGGCGCCGAGTTCGCGAGGGCCCAGGAGATCCGACAGTCTGCGAAGAGGCTGGCCATGGAAGCGACATCCAGGGATAAAATCAGCAAGGTCTCACGGGCCCGAACTCCTGCCCCTCGGTCGTTCGCCCCTGGCCGGTGGGTTTACGCGTGGAGGCGCGTGGCCAGGGCCGCCTCCAGGTCCGACAACCGGGGCCGCCGAAGATGCGGCTGGACTGGGCCTGGGGCCGTGGTGCTAGCTGAGGGCGGGGCGGTTTGGGTCGCCATGGGAGCCGGGCTCTGGAAAGGCTCAGCCGAACAGCTCAGGCTTGCCGGCGCCGACGAGGAGTTCGAAATCCAGATCTCATAGAGTCTTCAATGGCAAGATCATCTGCGCTGGTCGGCCGCCCGAAGAGCCGCCGCTGTCGATGTGCGGCGAGAGGGTTTCCCTCCTGAAGACGCCTGGGACCGAGCTGTTCGGGGAGAGATGGGCCCAGGGCCCCGGCTTCTTGGGGAAGCCAGACTGGAG